GAGGAGACTTTTGAGACTCCCCTGGACTGCAAGGAGAACAAACCTATCCATTTTGAAGGAAATCAACCCTGGATGCTCACTGGAAGGACAGATTCTGAAGCTGAGGCTCCAATACTTTGGCCATCTCATGAGAAGAGAAAACTCCCTGGAAAAGCCCCTGATGTTAGGAAAGTGTGAAGGCAGGAGGAGAAGGGGACGACAGAGGACGAGATGATTAGACAGTGTCATCAAAGCTACCAACCTGATTTTGACCCAACTCTGGGAGGCAGTGGAAGACAGGAGGGCCTGGAGTGCTCCGGTCCATGGGGTCACGAACAGTCAGACACAACTTAACAACTGAACAACAACAATATATATTTTAATGACTTTAAATTGTTTCTTGGTGAAACCTTCTCTGTGACCTTTTGACATATATTGGGGTATAGTTATTCCAAAGAAATAATTGGGTATTTTTCTTTCCCTCTTAGGCTAGGGTTACTTGGAGATGAACCTGTTCCAGCTGCAGAAACTATAGTGGGTGCCTTGGCCAAGCACATGGAGGCCAAGCTGTTCTATGGTATGCAGACCCTTCTTTGTATTTCCTAATGATTTCTGCATGTGGTAGGAGGAGAGGAAAGGTACGCGGGTTCCTTTGCGGGAATGTTTGGCCTGACTGCTTGGTTGTGGCTGCCACCTATCTTGCCAAATTACTAAGATAGGATGGACAGCTTAACGAGGTTTTGGGGATGTACACAGACCTCAGAGGGCTGTTCCAGCTTCCAGTTCTTAAAGGGTTGGATGCCACCTCACCAAGCTTTTATTTCATCTGGCCTGTTTTCATAAGCAGACGTTACGTCCAATTTGAAGAAAAAGCCTCTTGGGCCTAAAACAAGTGGGGGAGGGAGGCATGGTAAAATGCCCGTACTCCTGGGTAGCATGAGTGACCCTTCTGGCAAATTAACAATAGTCACAGTATTAGCAGTAGTAATGACATCCATAATGGGGACAAGTCAGAAAGCTGGCCGGCAGTGGTAGGGAAAATCAAGAAGATATGTACAGTGGGGTCTCGACTTACGAACGACCCGACTTGCGAACAATTCGAGTTACGAACCTGCCCTATAGGGAAAGTAAGGACTCTACATGCGAACTTCCCTCAAGTTACGAACAGGGGAAAAAGTCCCCCCTCCCTCCCCTTAGAGGCTTCTGGAGGGGGGGAAAGGGTCAGAAACTTAAAAATAAATACTGTACTGTTAAATAAAGTCACTTACCAGGCCTTGGTAGCCCTCAAACCACAGGAAAAAGAGCAGGAAAGAGCTAAAAGCCGACACCCAGAAAGAGCCTGGCAGCCATTTTGTGGTTTCCCCGCTCCTCTCCCCGCCTAACAGCTGATCGGCTGGCTCTGAGCAGGCTTCCGGAGGCTTGCTCAGCACCTAAAAAGCCTGCCTGAGTGCCTTTGTGCTGAAAAAATCAGCACAACATGCTTTAAAACATTATTTAAAATTGGCTTCGTTTAAAAAAAAAGGAGTTCTAAAGTGCTGCCTTTAGTGTTCCCTGCCTTCCCTGAACCTAAGGGGGAAAAAGAAAGAAAATATCCCCCTCTAGTGGCAGAAGGCAGAATAGCAGCTTCCCATTAGTTTCTATGGACAGAAAAGAGCAGATACTGATTAAATGGTTTTCAATGCATTCCTATGGGAAATGCAGATTCGACTTAAGAACTTTTCGACTTGAGAACCACCTTCCAATACAGATTAAGTTCTTAAGTCGAGACCCCACTGTAGTCTTGCTAGAGTTGGTGTAACAAGACAACTTACCTTCTTGCTTTCCAGAACAGGATCAATATTGTTAACACGTAATTTGAAAGTTAATGCCTTGAAATGTCGAACACACAAGAGAGCAGTCTACATTTCATTCCACTGGACTTGTCCTCACTACTGTCTTTGGTTTGGCATTTTGTCTGGGTACAACAGAGGGAAAGATGGGGAGCAGAGACCTGTTCATGGGGACCAACTGGACTGATCCTCCTTTAGTTTTATCATGTTAAGAATTGATGTCTAAATGAGTTTTTTCCCTTTTCCTCCTCACCTTTTATTCTTTTTGTGTTGTGTCTTTTTAACTGTACATTTGAAGTTTCATGGAGAAAATACCAATCTTGTGCAAGTTACCCTTAGAGCCTTTTAAGTTAAAATGCAGAATAAAAAAAAAATTCTGTGTGTTGGATTACTTTTTAGCATCCAGCTGTTTTGTTTCTAAACCTGTACACTGCTTAGACAAGTGTGCCACATAATGACTGAAGTTGCTATAGCAGGCTTCAAACTACATTTGATCTTAGCCTAAAGACCAAGAAGTATTTGTATTAATTAACATTATGTATTTTGAAAACCAAATAAGCTTTACGTAAACATTGTACATATCCCATTAATATGTTTGTCAAGCTTCAGGGATTTAATTTAATTTTCATGGTGTAGAAGTTATGATTATGAAAGCTGGTCAGATGCTTATTCTTCTTTATTATTATATAAGTTTTAAAAATTTATGTTTGAAATATACTGTATTTTAAGTGTATAAGACGCCCCCATGTATAAGACACCCCCCACTTTTCTAATCCCAAATTAAGAAATCTAAGTGGGGCTTAGCAAGTGTCGGGGGAAAGGGATCAAAGTGCTGCAGGATCGCTTTGATCCCTGCTTTCCCCTCCACTTATTTATGTTCTCTCCTCAGCTTACTTCCGTGTTTAAGACGACCCTCTATTTTTAGTCTAAAGATTTTATACAAAAGTATAGTCTTATACATGGAAAAATACGGTAATTTCCAAAAGTCTTATAATAACCAGAAATTTAGATCCTTGTGTTTTTCCTCCTTCAGGCACTGACGAGCGAGATATGATAGTTATGAGGACTGAAATAGGAATCAAACATCCCTCTGGTCATCTTGAAGACAAATACGTCAATCTTGTAGTATATGGTGATACCAAAGGGTATTCTGCAATGGCAAAAACTGTAGGATACCCTACCGCAATCGCCGCAAAGATGGTTCTAGACGGTATGTATTTCCATATGTTAGCTAACAAGTCTGAATATGAAGTTATTGTTTTATTTAGTTGGTGCAGAAATACCTCCTGAAAAGGCATGTTGTCTATAAATGAGACATATTGACTGAAATCCTCCTGTTGCTCAGTATTGGTAAAGGTAAAGGTAAAGGTTCCCCTTGACAATTTTTGTCCAGTCGTGTTCGACTCTAGGGGGTGGTGCTCATCTCCGTTTCCAAGCCGTAGAGCCATCGTTTTATCCGAAGACAATCTTCCGTGGTCACATGGCCAGTGCAACTTAGACACAGAACGCTGTTTACCTTCCCACCGAGATGGTCCCTATTAATCTACTCACAATTGCATGCTTTCGAACCGCTAGGTTGGGGGGAGCTGGGACAAGCGACGGGAGCTCACTTCGTCGCATGGATTCAATCTTACGACTGCTTGGTCTTCTGATCCTGCAGCAGAGGCTTCTGCGGTTTAGCCACAGCGCCACCACATCCCCTGTTGCTCGGTATAGTAAATTATAACTAGAGTAGGCCCACTGAATCAGTGGGGATTTGTTGAGAACTCCTGTCATTGATTCAGTGGGCCTACTCTAATTGTGACTTACTACACCAAGTTAACAGATTTCAGCCATTAACTTGCAACTCATCACAATGATTTTATGATCCCAGTCCTGTTCTGAACAAAATTAATCTTTTCCCCCCTCCTAATTTTTCATGTCACTGTAAGAAGGTTTATTTTCAGTACCAATATTTTTCTACTGTCTGTAGAATGTCGTCATATTTAACTGTGAGAAGAAAACAATGTATTGTTTAATTAGACTGAGTTTTTAAAATAAATTTTGTAGGAGTCATGTCTCCTACAAAATGTCTTGTCATGTCTTCTTTCTAAAACAGGCTGGTACCTGTGGTCATACAGATGATAGCACCCACCCTCCATCACCATTGGCTATGAAGCTATGGTTGATAGGGATTGTAGGCAAAAAAGGGGGGAACATCTGGAGGACCGCGGTTGCCCAATCAAATAGAAAAGCATGTTTTTCCATTTATATTTTAGGAGAAATCAACACCAAAGGCATGGTCATCCCACTGACGAAGAATATATATGGACCAATACTTCAGCGTGTTCAAGCCGAAGGCATTTCGTACAGTACCCAGAGCATTATCAAGCAATAGAGGAGATGCCAACATCTTCTTCATTTCTGCAGTTCCTAATTTTGTATGCATAATCTGAAGCTTGAGGATAATGGTCTATGGGGACTTTTCTGCTGGGAAGTCAAAGCCTTAATGAAGAATAGTTGCTAAACAGCAACCTTACTGTTCTTGCATACAGCTCTAGGCTATTTCAAAGAGGCTTGTGCAATAGAATTTCCTATTCTTTTTCCTTTATTCCACATTGAATCCCTGTCCAAGGATACCTGTAAACAAGTCCCATCAGGTTCAGTGGGACTTGTGTCTGAGTCAATTGCACTGTAAAGACGGCGATGAATGTGTGGCTCTCCCAACCATATTGGCCTTGTGTCCCTTCAGAATTGCACAGCATGACCTGGGTTTAGGGATGATAGACCTTAGAATCAAACAGTTAGAGGGCAGCTTCTTTCTTATGCCTTTAACAAAGGTTGCTGGTTGATAGCAGATTCAGCCACAGTGCAATACAGTATTTGCCTTCACAATCAGAGAACCTTTGTGTAGAGCTTGGGGACATATTCAACAGTGCTTGTTTAATTGTATTCCTAAGTGCTGAAAAATTGCTAATTAAATATTCAATTTTAAATAGAACATTTGCAATTGAACTGTGACACTGACAGAAGAAGTCTGTACTTTGTGTGCATCTAAATATGGATGGTTTCCCCCCATTCCATTATTTCTTCAGCCAAGAAGTTGTCAGACTACAGTTCCTGAGAACTGAAGTCCCATTTCTTATGCCTTTAACAAAGGTTGCTGGTTGATAGCAGATTCAGCCACAGTGCAATACAGTATTTGCCTTCACAATCAGAGAACCTTTGTGTAGAGCTTGGGGACATATTCAACAGTGCTTGTTTAATTGTATTCCTAAGTGCTGAAAAATTGCTAATTAAATATTCAATTTTAAATAGAACATTTGCAATTGAACTGTGACACTGACAGAAGAAGTCTGTACTTTGTGTGCATCTAAATATGGATGGTTTCCCCCCATTCCATTATTTCAACAGTTGGGCATGGAAGCCACTGCTTTATGTAGTTTCAACCTACATTTTCTAAACTATTTATTCTGAAGACCTCTCATTAAAGTCAGTGATCTGTGTCTTCTGCCATCTAAGAATGTATATGGAGAAACTTTCCACTCACCCCCTCTGTTAATTAATTTCTGTAAATTATATTAGATTCATGGGCGTGGCGAGCTTGTGACCTAGCTCATCACCATTATGTCACCCACTATGCTGCGGTTAACTGCCTGTGTGATAACAGTGGAGCCAAATGTGTGTTGAACCCAATTTACATAAGGAAAGGCTGCATGGATCTTAAGAGCATTGTGGAATCCCCATAGTTGAACCTAGGTCTCAGTTAAATGGTCTTTAACAACAGGGTGGGAAAGACTTTTGCAAGAGACCCTGAAAATTGCTGGTCAGAGGGAGCGGGGAAAAAAGTACCACACAGTGCAGGTAAATCATCTCCTGGTTCTGACCCCTCAGTATGATCCATGAGAAGGAAATCTCTTTTTAACCTGCACTTCACTGCCTAGAAATTTATGTCAGCAATATTTGTGTATTCATTGGAAAGATGAAAGTGTGATTATTTTAGACCTTTCAGTAACACATTAGCCATGCAAGCTTTAAAAGAGGAAAGGCCGCACACATAAGGGCAATTAGCTGTTTTTCCCTTTTCATGGCCATTTCCCCCTTGTTACTGTCCATGGTGGGGCCACTTCCCGACCCAAGGAAGCTGTTTGGGGTGTGTGTTGCTGGCTGGCAGTGCAGTTAGGCTTGTGGGTGCTGTTGCCTTTTTCCACTCACTGCAGGGGGACCAAGAGGAGTCTCTGGCTTGTATGTTTAACTCTTCTGTTGCCTCTTTCTGGTATCTACCGGGAAACTTGGATGAAAGGCATTTTTTTCCTTTCCTGAACACCAGTTTATTTTGGACAGAATGTACCAAGAAAATGAATTATGTACTAAAACCTACCTGAAAAGCATGAAGTAGATACTGAGAGATGCACCGGGGAAGTGGTAAAAGAAACACAAATGCATTAGAAGAATGATACAATGGCTTCATTTAGACTCTGATTACTCATCTTGCCAATTCTGTGTAAGGGCCAGCAAGGTGCTAGCTGAGGTAGTCTCACAGCATTCAGCATGCAAGTGAAATGCTGCTTGTGTCTCAGAGTCATTTGTATAAAATAAAAGGCCTGAGAACAAAGGAGAGGACACTGATTTAAACATTCTACCTGTATTCCTGTGGAGTATGGCTGTGTTCAGGAACCAAGGACACAAGAAACTGGGAAGAAATAAGGAGACTTTATAAATGCATAGCTTTGTGAAGGGCACTTCAGTCTAGCTGATGGAAGACTAGGTCACCTCTGCTAAGGTCCTCTGGATTTGAGTCTGAAGACAAAGACTTAGCAATCTTAAATAGCCCAGTGGTGGGACTGAATGCAAGGGAAAAGCTTTATTTCCACTTTGCTTTATCCACGAACGTACCTCCAGTGGCTGCTGAAGGGAGCGGACAGAGACTTTATTTACTCAGTGCCTAGTCTCTCAGGTGTTCTGTGGCCATGTACCTTGCCTCTCATTTCTACCTCAGGCTGAAAAATTCTTGTGATTCCTCAGGTAGTGAGTGTCCGAGTTCCAGTAGTCTGTGGGGATTTTCCATTTTAAGGGTAAAACAACTGATTGATAGTCCTCACTCATCCTTTTCACACCTCAACTCCTCTCCCAATGGTTCTGTTGATCAAAGGTTTTCTTTTTTTATTACTTCAGATTACAGAAAGGGATTGTTGAAATTGCACAACTAATCCAGGCTTAGTCAAAAGGTTACTGTGCATTTGTTTTCTATTTCAGTATAACTTTTTGAAACAATTTTGTATACGGTAAAAGGCTCTTTCATGTATTGTGGTTTTAAATAAATCCAGTGCTTCTGCTGTGCTGCCATATTAAATAGAGGTGTTTGACTTTCATCTGTGCATGTCTTTTGTTCTAAATAAAGTTGTGAGGGTAGTAGTTAGTTTCAACATCTCACCTTGTACTCACTTAGAGCCATTCAAGTTTGGGCAGCTTATGGGCCTAGGCCGCAAGTGTCCCTCAGCATGGCCCTCAGCCTGATTTCACTGCTAGAGCAAATCGGCCCATTTCCCAGCAGCTTCTCTAGTAGGAAGGAATTGCCGGCAAGGAGAGAAGACAATGGAATTAGACTGGAATTAGACGGACCTCACCTAATTTTGTGTCGGCCTCTATCCCCAGGCAGCTTGCAGGCCATTGTCAAGATGTGGAATTTTGAGTAGAGTGCTAAAATAAGAAGTGTATAGAAAATGCAGTCCTGAAAGTATACATTGTATTTTAAAAATGGAAGTTTGAACAGCAGTTTTAGTAAAAGTCATTGCAAAACAATTAGCTCTCCAGCTGAGTCTGGAAACAAAGTCACTATACAATAACATTCCTGACAGTTGAATGTTTACAAATAATAGCCATAAAGGAAAGAACTGAAAGTGTATTCAGATAATTGTTTATAATATGTAAAATTTTAACATGACAGGCCCAAGGTATTTCAGGTCTTGTGATTTGCTCTACTTTATTTTATTAGACCTCTATACTGTAGTTCCAACCCACTGAAATCCACAGGCTCTGAAACTGTTGGAGAAAACAGTAACACTTATCATCATGGTAACTTGCTAGGTTCTGATGGAAGCAGTAACTGCAATGAAGATTCCTATTACATTTTTTCCTTGGTGAATCAGGACCCAAAAACTACAGCAAAAGAAAATATTTGTAGTTGGAAGGGAAAGGGAAACATTTGAGAGAAATATAGAGGAAGGCAGGAGACACACTACAATGGCACATAACACATCAAATTATGCCATGTCACACATATTACAGCAGCAACAGCAGTAGCAGACAAGGGCAATATGCATTTCCCTCCATAGATTCAAGCTGGCCTGAAAGGTGAGCAATCAGAATATTTTTCATGTCATTTATAATGTGCATAAAGCCTAAAAAAGTCAGTTTCTTTCATATATTCTCACTTTTTAAAAATTGATAAAGAGATGTATTTTCTGCTTTTTGATTGTGTCATGGAGCTCTTGCCATGTGTAGAATGTAATAACGTTTTCTGTGATATTTTTGCGGCATTGCCTGCAATTTATGTTTAGTTTTCATATATTTCCAGTCATTTGTGCCAACAGTTTTTACACAGTTGTAAGACTGGATGCTTTTCAACAATTCTGAAGTATTTTCATGCATATGGAACACAAGAAGCAATGTAAAAATAAAACTTGGAGAAATAGAGAAGCTGATGCTTCCTGGAATCACTGCAACAATGAAAAGACTTACCTTGATACCCACATGAATTTTCATATGATTGGAAATGACTGTCTTGATTTCATTTCTGAAATTAATCCTTAACTGGGATAAATGCAAGCTGTGGCGCAAACAGGCTTCTTTTTAATGAATTTTCATATGATTGGAAATGACTGTTCTGATTTCATTTCTGAAATTAATCCTTGACTGGGATAAATGCAAGCTGTGGCAAACACAGGCTTCTTTTTATTTCTCTAGAGGTCTATAAAGTTCTATAGGTTTCTTAGAAGGATGTTCAGGCATCGGACTCTGACTCTCAGACAGTCCCTTGAGGAGATGGCCCTTGATAGAATCAACAGTCCAGGCTGTTTTTCACTGATTTTCCAAACCAGTCCCATAAAACCACAAAGGTGAATCAGTCAAATATTCTCTATGTTCTTGCCATCAGCCTAATTCATTATGTTCTTCTGGGCAGAACAAAATGGAGAAACAAAACCATCTATGTTGCCTTGAGATAAATGCATTAAATAGGAATAAACTACTGTATTTGACAGAGAGTGCAGTATGCAAAGCACTTCATAGAGCAATAAAATACAGAAAAGTGACCTCCAGCAGACGCTTGCTCTTCTTTTGTTTAGGTGGACATCAAGGACCTGTTTGTTCAGGCAGGCATTTCATCTTTAATGATCTGTTGTGTTAGACTGTCTTAATCTATCACTGCCTCAGTGTTTCAATGCTTCAGTTATGAACCGCCTAGAGTGGTCCTGATCCGACCAGATAGGCGGGATAATAAATAAATAAATAAACAAACAAACAAACAGTTAATGCTGTGGTTTTGAACTACTTCTGGGACATATGTGTGTGCTTTCTGTACTCCTCCAAATCTAAGCTGCTTAATATATAATAAGCATTATATTACTATGGAATGACGACCTGCTGATCACAGAGAAACAATGTCATATTTAGTGTGTGCAAGTAATGTTGAGCCTGTTGAGTTTGCTGTCAGATAACATTTTGACATTTTAATATACCAGTTGAGGGGTTGCAAGTTCCTTGCACCACTAAAGCAAGTGCATTTTGTTTGTTTCAGCAGATATACTAGTAAAAAGTTTGCAAGGCTCGCTCATGAGGTGAGAGGCATGTATGACAAGAGCAGAAGCTGCTTCTACCCCTTCAGGCTGAAAGATGAGTGACACCTTTCAGCAACTGTCTCTGTAATTTTGCAAAGGTTTGTCACTATGCATATTGTTGTCAGTCTAAATCAAACCTGTGGTATGATTTGTAGTACAGGTAAATATGTTAACAGAGTGCTTTTTTAGAGAGAGATGAAAGTGAAATGCAATTGACAGATGACATTTGTTAGGGCAAATAGAATTTAGGGCTCAGGGCTTATTATTATAATAATGTGTGTCATGTAGTCAATTCTGATTTACAGCAACCCTTTTTAGGGTTTTCTAGGTAGAAAGAAGTGGTTTCCCATTTCTTCTGGGGGCACCCTTGTTTTATTATATGGAAACAAAAAAAGGGGTGTGCTTTCATGATAGGCTATAATCCACAAACTATTTGGAATTGGCTTTGCTTAGAGCAGATATTTAGTTTAAGGGGTGAAAATTAAAACTCCTACAACCAGTTGGTTGATGTGGATTAATACAGCTGCCTGCTCTATGTCTGGAAAATCTTTTGGGGAATGGCTCTATGGAGTGTTGTGATCCCTATTTTGCACTTCATAAATTTGAATCCTACTGTTACCAGTTTATATGATAATGCTGGTTGCTGAGAGAGGAACCCACATATAACTTTAGGAGAACAGGGGAAAGTGACTGAGTGAAGAGAAGCAATAGAAGCATAATACATAGCAGCTTGGTTGCTTCACCCCACTTGTATGTTATGTATCTGACTACCAGTTCTTGGGAGACAAGAGCAGAAAGTGCCATTGCCTCCATGATTGACTTCATAGGGCACTTCTTATACCATATGTGTCAAACCTTTATTAAGAACATTATTTATTAAATTGCCTGTCCTATTTTGATAGAGATACTTGTGGGGGTGACTACAGTGATTGTAAGACACTATAAGAACACCAGCCGTTTCTACCCCATGCAACTGGTTTTAAAGAAAAAAACCATCAGGGTACGTAGTAGCTCCATGATGCATTTTACACAAGGGCAGTGCTGGTCCTCTCATATTGATTTTACTGTACTAGAATGCAGCAAATTACTATTCGAGATGTGCTAGGCAACAGGTGGGGGAGGGGGAACAGTTAAGGGCTATGGAAGAGTTTGGGAAAACCATTTTACTCTTTCCTTCTTTTCCTCCCTGGTTTTCTTTTCTTTTTGCTTTGCCTCCAGTTTCACTCCAGTTGTTCTCTATGGAAAAGGAAATAACAAAGCCAGTGCTTTGATCTCCCCCCCCACTCCCATTTTGGGCTCTCAAGCCTCTTTTACCATGCCACCTTCTATGTTGCCCTGGCAGCTCATGATATCAGAACAGCCACGGCACTAGAGTTTTTCACTGGTGCTCAAAGGATGAATATTCAAGAAGCAGAATGGCTCCTCATCAAGAAATCCTTCCACCACATGGCCTTGCCTATAGAGGGAGAAAGCCATAGTCACCTATGGCTCCTTATGATGCTTCCAGGACCATAGATTTGCAAAACAATAACCTTTTTCTTGATCCCTGCATTGAACTCATCTATCCTCCCTCTTTTTTTAATAATGCTGATGTCTGATTAGACTTGTCCTCATCATCAGCTTTCTGAAATGCAGTTTTGTACATTTGAAAGATAAAACCTTGAAGTGGGCAGTGCTAGTTAAGATGCATTAGAAGACCTGCAGTAATGGACTAACATCTTTCCCATACTTGACCCAGTTTACAGAATGTGGCTCCATATCTTTTTAGTCTATTGCAAGGATTACAATAAAAAAAAAACCCCAATCAGAATACATCATTTTTGTCTGAGATGGTGTGCTTGCTCTATTTAGAAATGGATGCACATTTATTAAAATGAATAATCCAGGTCTAGCTGAAGATTACAGAAGATATAAGAAATCTTCATTTTTTCCCAGATCAAACTTATGCGCTGGTAAAAAGATTATCCTATGGACTTATGCATTAAATAACTTGTCAGCATGCTGAGATGATGACTGTGATTACAGACTTGGTTGAAAGGAAATATTGGAAGGGACCCTTGAATCTTTTGTATTATCATTTTTAAAAAAATTCTCAGCTTCTTAAAAGGGCAGTTATTTATAACTCACATTTCTTTTCACGGAAGGCACTGATGAGAATAAACTATGTTTAATATGGTCTCATTTGTATCTACTCCAAAGTAAGCCTCACTGTGCTTAATTAAACATGTCCCTTCAGAAATGAAAGTTGTCCATAATGAGGATGTTTTCCTCAGTCAAATAAGTGGTGCACAAGATCCCTGTGTTTCTTTGTATTATTTCCTTGGATTCTTCTGTGCTCAGGATTATGGTTGGGAGAAAAAAAAGAAGGCAAGAGGATTAGGAAACGGGGTTATAGAAACAGCCATAAGATCGAAATTAACCCTGTGGCACTTACATCCCAAGGGATATAGTGAAGAAGAAGAAAAATATTTGGACTGGTTAGACTGAGTGCTTGTTTAGGAACAAATAAAGGGGAAGGAGAAATTGTCCCAATGAAATCTGATTGCCTTTTTAGGTCATATTCTTTGAGCAGCTGGCTCATGCAGTCTCAATTTTCCCCCCTAAGAATGTACTTACAAAATATGTCTATGCCTTTGGAATTAACTTTTTCCCCCAAAGTGGATCACTTGATAGTAGCCTGATGTAAGCTGTACCAAATTGTCCTTAGAAAAACATGTATGTATGCTTGTATGTATGTATGTATTATATTCCACTTTAAAAATTCAGATCCACTTAAATAGAGCTTCGGTTGGTTGTGTTGACCAGTACTCAACAAGTCTACACATCTGCTTGGCTTCAGGTATGATTCCTCAGCTATTCATTTACAGAAAGTTTTGGGCCCTAAAAAAAGGATGGGAGTGTATCTACCTTAACCAGGAAATCAGTGAATCCTGTACCCTTACCCATAGTTGCTTCACTCCTCTCTTTGCATAAGCCAGCCAAGAAACCATGATATCTTTCATTTCTCATCATGTCTGATCTGAGAAGGGATGGCTAATGACTATAGAGCAAGTACGGATATGACTCATTCATACCATGAGTTCACCATTTCCTCTTTTTTTCACTGAAATTATTTGGCTTGCTCACTAATATTGAAAAAAAGAGCAAAATAATGAAAGAAAGGCATGTCTCCCAGCTTAACAAGCTTTTGGGTCAGCCTGTTGATTTTATAGGTGGCTGTCCTGCACTGTTCATACTAAATGTTATAGTGCTGAGATCTGGTTTTTTTTTTTTTGGAAGAACATTGCCCTCTCCTTTATACTAAAGAAACATAGGCCTGAGCCTCCATCTGCATGGAAAAGTCATATGCCAGATATATAGTGCAACTCACATTTAGTCCTGGGTAAGCAAGATGCTATGAATTTTGCCTGTTCTTACCAATATCAAAATCTCTTTGCCATTTACTATTGTAAAATAAAAAGGTGGTTCTGGCCCCCTTCAGGTTGTCAGCACTGATGAGATGGATGTTATTTAATGAATGTCTACTGCAGAGCATTCAACAAAAACTGGAATATTGATATTTATTTTTGCAGTGCCTTGGATAAAAACAGTTTAAACAATGTGCAGTACAGATGTTACTTTCATAGAAATTTCTTATTTCAAAACAGGTATATTTCAGCTTCCCACAAAAGTTAAAACTGCATGCAAAGATACGGTTACTCACTTAGGATGCATGACAATGTATCAGAAGATGCTTGTTAAAATTAACTTATATTGAACTACATAATTTTAACAATGCGATTACACAGAACTAGAAAACTGACTTTGTAGTAAAATATAAAACTCTACAATTATAAATATAAATTTGGTCCATGGAATCCACTCTAGAAATATTTACAGTAAGTATCAGCTATTCTAAATGCCTACCAAAATCTTAAAATGTTGAATATTACAGAGCAGAGTATATTTACATTCTACAATATTAAAAGTTAAACTTCTAGCAAATGTAAGGAATGCTATAAATAACAGCAAGTAAACTGGATACTAAAACATTACACGTTCCATTCTGAGAATCTTCGCATCTACAGTTATGATCAAATTTAAGTAAAAATAAAGCCCAAGAAATCATAAACTAATACTGTAAAAGAGACCACAGTTTCATTTTTAGAAATACAATAAAGATCAATCAAATTAGTTCAAACATAACAAAATGCATTACAAGAAATATTTCAAAAAGGCACACATTTGTTAATGATATTAAGTTCAGCAATTAAGTCATTTGCAACGAATGCTTGTTTGAACATGTGAAATAAAAAGATTATCTAATTGCTGGACTTTTCCCCCCTCATACCCTCTCTGCCCCATTTTTTTAATTATTATTTTAAAAAAGGAATGAAATGTACTGAAATTTCCAGATCTGGATAATTACCACATGGTATGTTCCATTTGTAATCAAACTAAAGATTCCAAGCTTTCAGCTGCATTGCCGTCTGGTAAAGCTGACCCATTACTGTCTATTGATACTGAAGGGTTTTCTTCTTGCCTTGAACTAACAAGACTGAGAATAGTCTTGTAGAGAAACTGATAGTGATCCTATTGATGAAGGTTGGGAGTGGGAGAGAAAGGACAAAGTTAGTGAGATAGGCGTGGAAGTTCAGTAGCTGTCTGATAAGGAAATAACATAACTTAAAATAATTTGGATGTCAGTGCAAGGATGGTATGTGAAAAGGTGGCCTTTCTAATATTGCTTAGCATTTCAAGGTAAGTATCAGCACCCTCAGTGGCACAAAGAAGTGAACAGGCAACTAGCCCCTTTAAGATGAGTGATGTAATTGTAGCAGCTGAACTCTGCACTAAACTAGAGCTTCAGTTTCATCTTCAAGGGCATCAACATGTACAGGAGGACCCCCATATCCACGGGATCAATATCCATGGTTTCACTTATTCATGATCTGAAAATATTTTAAAAATTAAAAGAAACAAAATAATTATTTTCATATGTATTACCACATCTAGCCATTAGAGAGAGCCAGAGACTATGCCATAAATCCTTGTTGCTGAAAAATGCATTGCATGGTCTCTGACACCCTCTAATTGCTGGTTCTGGTAATGCATGTGAAAATATTTTTTCTGGATTTTTTCTTGTACCATGCTATGTAGAGAAAGTTTTTTGCCTGCTTGTGGAAGGATAGCAAAGATGGGGCCATTCTGGCCTCCTATGGAAGGGAGTTCCACAGTCTGGGAGCAGTGCCAGAGAAGGCTCTCTCCTGTGTCCCCATCAGATGCGAGGATGGCGGGACAGAGAGAAAGGCCTCTCCTGATGATCTTAACACCCGGCCAGTCCATAATGGGAGACACAGTCTTTGAGATAGCTTGGACTCAGGCCATTTAGGGATTTATAGGTTAAAACCAGCACTTTGAAATGTTCCTGGAAACTGATTGGCAGCCAGTGGAGCTGCTGTAATGGGAGGAGTGCGTGTTATGTGATCCCTGTAACTAGTCCCAGTCAACAATCTGGCTGTTGCATTTTGGACCCAATGAAGTTTCCTGACACTTTCCCTCAGCAGCCCCACATAAGTGTGTTACCATAACCCAACCAGGACATAACTAGGGTGTGTATGACAGTGGCCATATCACATCTCTCAAGAGACAGACATAGCTGGCTCACTAGTTTTCATTATGCAGATACATTCCTGGCCACTGCCAAGACTTGGGCATCCAGGCTCTGGGATGAATCCAGGAGCACCCCTAAGCTGTGTAACTGTTTTTTAAGTGGGAGTCTAACCCCATTCAGTACAGGCTGCATCCATATTCCTTGATCTGCCTTTCGACTGACCAGGAGCACCTCTGCCTTTTCTGAATTAAATTTCAATGTAGTCACCCTCATCCAGTCCATTACTGATACCAAACACTGATTTACATCCGAAACAACTCCAGATCAGTGTTTGGTATCAGTAATGGTCTGATCAACTGAAACAGTTCCAAGGAGTGTGATAGTACCACTGTATTATAATGGCATCTGCTCTCAATCTACAGAACCAATTTTAAAAAAATAACCTAGGCAATGGATATCAGTTGCCACTGAGAGGGAAAGTAGTCCTCCAGGGTTTATCTTCCCCTGTGGCTTTCCCAATGGAGGTCATTCAGTAGGGTGATGAAGGGTCTTTCAAGTGCCAAAACTGGGCTAGAAGCTGAACTAAAAAGTCATGGTAATGTGCCCCATCCAAAACGGATTAAATGGGTAGAAGAGCTACACATTGTCGAATACATTTATGAGAAAAAGCTCAAGGCACAAATTAAATTAATTCATGCTAAAAGAAAACATGTTTTTGTGTATCTATGTAATGTACACCCATCTCTATTCCAACATACATTGTAAGACATATATGTATGGACATCCTAATAAGGCATTTATTAGAGTTGTACACTAGGCATACATTGCTGGAAATCACGCATTCCACTGATGTGCAGAAACTTACCATTTCTAACATCCAGAACAGAGTTCCAGGAAAAGAATATGAATTGTTCAGGCTGCATTAGTCTGTCTTTAGGCTGGAGAAAGGAGAGTTAAATACCCCTTCTCCGTGTCCTGCTGTCTCAATGAAAATCATTGCCCACATATATCTACCTATCATTAAACAAAGAGCAACAGAAACCCCCACTGCATTTTTTTTACTTGTTTAGTGTAATGTGTAGTTTGTCCATGGGCTGATAAATGCTGCTGTTCAAATATATGCCTAGTATTTAGTCGGTTCTTCATATTACCATTTTGAAGTAAAACACTGCAACAGGACCACAGTTATAATGACCCTTTAAAGCAGTGGTCCCCAACCTTGGACCTCCAGATGTTCTTGGACTTCACCTCCCAGAAATCCTGGCCAGCAGAGGCGGTGATGAAGGCTTCTGGGAGTTGTAGTCCAAGAACATCTGGAGGCCCAAGGTTGGGGGACCACTGCTTTAAAGGAACAAATAGTCAGACCTTTCCTTAAAAGAATTTATTTCATATAATGAAAGAAAATTGTTCAGGATACTAGATTACTTACAATATCCGTGAAGACTCCAGGCCTCATCAAATTGATCATCTTAGCTACGTGATAAACATCCACAGAATTTTCATTTTCTAGTTGATGCATCAGCGTTGTTAATGCACAGAAGGTACCCGCTGTCACTCCTCCATGCCTTTTTGAAGGTAATATATACATATATATGTATATGTATGCATTTTATACACATACACACATGTGCATGTGCATGCATGCAAGTGCACAAACACACAGAGATGAAAAAAGTTACTTCCCTTTAGTGAGATACAGTTTTTACAATAAGCATGCCATTTAAGATGGCATAGCAAGGCACAGGTCAGATCAAATATGTTTTCCTTTTTAGCAAAGAACTGATTCTGTTCATGAAGTGATTCCTAACTGACCATTCAGGACACATTTACCAGCTATCCAAGCCTAAGGGGACTCATCGCATGGCTGAACAGGTAACAGCTTGGCTGGCATGCTTAACCTTGCTGTGGGGGTAGCTGGATTTTTTTAAAAAAATAATAATCAGCAAATGCTGTCAGAACACATAGCTTTTTTTGCCATTTATTCTTGCCTCTCCTCCCAGATCTCTTACTTGCTAAAATGTATACTGAGAGCAGGTTTTTTCTCAAATCAACTCTCAGTATACATTTCTTGGATCTATTAATAATTAATTCCTGTTGAACTGAAAAATTATTTAACATATCTGCCTTGCAGTTCTATTGGGTGGCTTCTTATGCAGGCAGCAAAAGAATTCAATATGCAAATATACCACATGCAATGACTTTTTCCGCTGACTTAAAAGTGTGGCTTACAGGATATGTAGATGCCTGTTCCACCTATAGAAGGATCCTTCAAAACAACAACAATTGCTCCCAACTGCCCTGTCTTCCTAAATGTGATTATTCTAGTGTATTTGCTCCAGCCCAGAATGTATTCCTCAGTCTTTTCTAGAGATTCATGTGCACCCTGGAGTGTAAAAATGAAAGCTGTGCTTTAAAACATCTTGGGTAGATTAAATTTGATTCTGTAACAGAAATTTTAGGTGCTCCTGTCACTTCTCCTAAGTACAAGTGGGTAGATCTGCAAGTACTTAATACTTACTCATCATGCACAATGATGGGCCCATCTCTCTTGGAAGTTTCTTCTTTGATTACAGTTATCAGTTCAAATGTTTTACTGATTGGGCTATCTGGATTTGGCCATTTTGGACACTGAAAATGCCGCACTTCAAGAACATAATCATCCTTAAAAAGAAAAAAAAAGATAAGAGTTTCCCCAATATTGTTCAAAGGAGAATCTGTCTTGATCTTTAACTTGTGAATATATACTGACAAGAAACAGTTGGGTTCTGTTTACATGCACACTTTAAAAAAAGTTTAGGGAATAGTTTCCAAAGAGTGAAAAGTTTCCTTTTTATTATTATTTAAAGTTGTATCAGATACATGAGCAACCAAGGGAACATATCTCTTCATAACCCAATATTCTTGAATAGCAACAATTACTAGCAATTGATAGCATTTAACCCTACGAACCATTGATATATATCAACCATTGGGAGTGTTCCAAGCTAAAAGTAATGAATGGGATTCATGGTCATATTTTCCTATCAGTCAACTAAACTAATTGAGGAGAAGGCTACCAGCAGCCACCAGTCAGAAGCACAAAGACCCTGAATGCTAGTTGCTGCTGGGGAACAGATTGTTGGGGGGGGGGTTGGGCGGGTGGCAGCGAGGTGTTGTTCCTAAGCTTGGCTTGTGGGATTCCTATAAACAACTGATTGGCCTGAGTGATCATTCATGACTTTTAGTTTGGAACATTCATGATGTTTATATAAAATCAGTGTTTGATTTATGTCAACAGTTATGGTTAATTCATAGGGTTAAATTCCTATCAGCTGCTAGTCACTATACTGTTCAGGAATACTGGATTATGAGAACACAATGCTGGTTTAGATAAGGCACTTAGTCTGGTCCATTACAGCTTTTTCTATCTTCCTGAGAAACAGAATAAGGATGAAGAACCTTTGGCTCCTTGGCTGGATTTGGCCTGCAAGGATCCCTAATCCAGTCCACAAGTATCTTCAGCTTTTACCAGCAATGAAAAACAAGAGGCTACTTAAAGTGTGGGAAGGTGTTTCAAGGAAATGAATTTTGGTTATTACTCAGGGAAGCCTTTGCACTGGGGCTTATTATAAATAGACAAATGTAGAACTGATCTGTGCTTTGCTTGCCTGAAAATTTTTTGGGGCTGTGGCTGAATCTGAACAGATAGCAAAGCCAAGCTATGATCTGTATATTCGCTGGATAAAAATGTCAATAAGAAACAATTATGTCAGGACCCTCCGAGTTTCCCATTGTCCTGCCCTGTGCCCGTTAGTCTTGCTCGCTTCTTGGTCTCACTCACATCTGGAATCTAGACTTAAGACTCCAGGCAAAAAAGGGTGTCCCATCTCTCATGTAAATGGTACAATGCACATACAATTTCATGAGTATCTTTAGGAAAATGGGGAGGGGAAGCCAACCTAACTAGCTATAAATATACCTTTTTTGCACAAAACAATTTGGTTTTTCCCATAAAAACTGAAAAAGCATGTGCATTTCTCCAAATATTAAGCAAATGATCTGAAGTGGGGTTCCAGAAATTCAAATCACAGTTATACTGTACTATGAGGAAGCAATAGTAACTTACTAAAGTGATAATAATGTACTGTAAAAAATAGTAAGAGTACCTGTGTTGCTTCTAAAATGAAATCCTGGATTATGAGTTTCTCTTCATTTGACAAACATTTGTGTTCTTCAGAAATCAGGCTAACTTTAAAGCTTTCACAATTTATAGGATCTTCTTTGTTTGGCCAGTATACAAATTCATCTTCAGCCTGCTAAAAGAAAATAATTCTGATAAAATTCTGAATTAGCAGTAATCTAGATCTACATGCCGTTATTCTGTGATGTAAACAATGCACACTCTGGCTGAAATCCTGTTGGCACAGCTCTGCACAGGTAAGATTGGTGATGTCATAGACTATGACCTTTTATCACTAATTAATTTTTTTCAATCTTCCCCCCTGCGGGCTCTGAGGCTCCCTAAGAATCCCATCCAACATGGGTAAGCCTTTGGGAGCCTCAGGAATCTGAAGGGTTCCTAATGACCAAAAATAGCTGCCACTGGTCCCAGTCCTGCGACTAGGACTAGTGGTAATAATTTTAAAACATTAAAATTTCTTCCCACATCCCAAGGATCACAAAGACTTCCCTAGATCAAACGGAGCCATTAAAGAGCTTTGGGAACTGGGGAGGGAGATTAGAAAATTTTATCAGTAATAAAAAGCTGTGGTTGATGACATGATCAGCCTGCACAGAATTGCATCAACAGGATTTCAGCCTCTCAAGTGATAAAGATGGTTTACTTCAATGTGACTGAAACTCTTTAATATGATTGCTACATTAAAGTCTAAGTAATGTCTTTTTATCAATACATTTTCCATGAATCGTGTTATATATATTATTATGACATTAACCTCTCTTGCCAAGGAATTACTTTCTAATCCTTCACCAATACTATAGATCTTCACTACAAGTACTGTATAGCTCTCAATGATCCATAATTCTAGCACTGAACTTAACACCAGTTTATAATCATTTTTATTATTCTGACTATTCTTCCCACAACCCCCAGTAATGACAAAGGTATATTTTTATTTCATTTACATAAAAATGACTGGTAAAAAAGAATAAAGATATTCTATGAATAATATGTCAAATGAAAATCCTGATGAATCAAAATATTTAATTCCCCATCATAATCTTACCATATTTTGACTATCTGGAAGCATGACAACAATCTGAGCATTGTGGTCCCATATCATTCTCCAGAAATCTTTTATAGTATGTAGAAGAGGATGCTGGGTAATAATGTATTCATTATTTTGATAATAACCCTGCAAAGCAAACACAAAGCTGAGGCTGGATGCATGGAGTAATATGTCCTGTGTTGTTGTTCATCTGTGGTTGTATTTATCTAATCTTCAGATTGCTTAGGACCAGATGGTTTTTATTATGTCCTGATATGTAAAACCATAACATTCAAAGAGGCTGTACTTGATTTTTCACATGACTGTAACTCTCTTGCCAAAGAAGATTACTTATTCTGTAATCACTCAGTACTGAACTAACAGTGATGATCTTCTGTGTGAAGACATGTGCATACAGAGTCACTCATGCATACACAAAGAACAGCCATGAACACTGAAAAGTATTGATTTACTCAAGGGTCTTCAAAAAACGCTGATAAAAATAGGCAGGTAAATTCAAACTGTGATATAGTTTGTCATGAAACTTACCATAATATAGGAAGCATTGATGTAGTCTGTGCCTTCACCTGACAACGATGAAATACCAACTCTAGATCTTTCCACTGTAAAATGAAAAGAAGGGCTATTTCTTCTTTCTTTTATTTCTTTAGCAAATGTGCAAGTCCCTGCCCACAGATTCAATATTTTCTGAACTCAAGAAAACTGGATTGACCCCTCACAGTACTGCTGTGCCGCAGAAATGATATCTGGGCAGCATTACTTTTCCAGTTGATGGGATGGCATCATGTGGGCAAGAGGCCTTTCTCCCTCTCCCTCTTATTTTGGTCATGAACAGTTTGTCCCACTCTAATTGCAGGACTTTCAGAAGTGGCACTGGATGAAACTCATTATTAAAGTTCCTATAATGTACAAAGGGTGGGCTTAGTTTTAGCAGGGAAACCCATTATTTCTTTGTCATTAGTGTATGGACCTCAACACCAAGCCACACGTGTAAAGTTATTTCAATTTAGACCATGCAAAATCCCTGAAAAAGAGGGCTTGTGAAATTTCGTTCTTAACAAACCTACCAGGAATGATAGATGAAGTCCTGTTCTTTTCTCTGTTACACTGTTTCAGAGCAGTAGAATAATCACACTGCTGTATATTAGACTGGCTTAGAAGCTGAAGACAAAGCAAATAAAAAGAACTTTAGTTGCATGGGGTACAGGAAACACACATGCAAATAGTTATCTTGGGAAAGAACTTCAAGCCAAAATAAAACACACCAGATTCCACTGCTAAATGTCCCCAATTCTCCTATCAGCTTATAGGGTTACACATAATGGAGCGGGGAGGGCAACTGAAGGGGTTAATCAGGTCTGAAGTGAGATCAGAACCGGTGAATTTTTTATTCACAATTAATTATTCCACTTTTCAAAAATACAAGCATCTGCCTTGTCTTAGAGGACAATGTTTTCCAACCATAATGCCTGACATTCTCTTCTACTTATGGAAACGTTAAAGGGCTACTGCATACGGCCATCAAAAATACAAGTCAGATGCAATACTTCAGCTGCGTGCATACAGGCTATGTACACACATGGTGGGTCATATAAAAGGGAACATGCAGTAATCTATAGTTTTTTCTGAGACTCAAGAGGTTGACAATTCCTATGATATGAAATTTATAGGCCTTGTTCCGTGCAGGTAAACTAGAGCGAGACAGACCTGTTCTGTGCTGAAGTTTTGTTCATGAAATACACTTCACTGCTGATCCTATGATCCTGCAGCTACTCAACATCATATTTGTACTCATGCATCTCACCTTAAATTGTTTCTCTAATCTGGTCTTTCCCATTGGTCCAGGTATTAAGAGTGAATTAACATAGGCATGGATGTGACTTTCAGGTACTTCTGTTTCTTTACTAAGTATGGCTTCTACAAGTGCATCGTGAATAAAGACATATTGTTCCTGGTTAGAACGAAAAATGTGATTATTTTCTTTGTTTCAATGTTAGTGTTTATTGTGGCTAAAAGCCAAAAATCTTTGTCCATACATTTTAAGTTAAATTACGGCTAGAAAAACACAACTAGAGGATTCCTTGCTTCTAGAGTTATACTAATTATCCTTTACATGGAAGGTAAGCCTCTTTTATTAAGGCATTTGTATAAGTAGGGTTTAAATTGATACTAGAGCGCTATGTTTTTTTTTAAAGCTTTCACTGTTGAATCCATTTTTAAAAGATCTGTTAACTTTTTTGAGCTTTTGTGATAAGACCCTAGGCCAAAACGACAGAGGAAACATTATTCTTTTCCTTACCTCTGTCTGAACCAGGTAGTTTCTTTGTGTTCGTATATGCTTCAGGAATCCAAATACATTGACAGTCCCTTCATGCTGAATTTGCTGTAGCATGCTATCTAATACTATGTATGTTCCTGTTCTTCCAACGCCAGCACTGTTAAACATTAGAAGAATCTATGAAACAGAAATAATAAGCAGCCACGACCTATACCTTCATAAGCACACCTAAATCCACAAAACAAAGTATCTGATGTTACATACATGCTTATGACACCCGTTGCTGTGTAAAGCAGCCCTAAATGTATAATGCAGTTTGACTTTCAAGGGTGGCATGTTAAAATAGCAGCTTAAGTGCACTTCATCATTATACACAGAGGCAAGCCAGCCTATGTGATAGATCCATGTGTATAATATTCATATGAAGCAATACAGTCATGCCAAAAAATATTGCCACCCTTGCAATTCTGTCAGAAAATGCAACCCTTCTCTCAGAAAATAGTTGCAGTTGCAAATGTTTTGGTACTCACATGCTCATTTCTTTGGTTTGCTTTGGAACAACACAACACACACACACACAAAAAAAAAACCAGAAGAAAAGTCAATTCTGATACAATCCCACATAGAAACCCAAAAATGCAAAAACATGTGAATGCCACAACATTTGCAACTGCAACAATTTTCTGAGAGAAGGGTTGCATTTTCTGACAGAATTGCAAGGGTGCCAGTATTCTTGGCCATGACTGTATATTTGTGACAGGTTGGTCATGCTGTTTACCTCAAAAAATCATCATATATTTACAAATGATATAAACATATTAAAATGTAGGAAAATGTCAATGAAGACAAAATACCTGCAATGAACCACAACTGGGCCCACAGCATGGCGCTTAGCATGTGAAACTTTTCGAACAAATGTAAGCACTGGCAAAGTATATTCAGGGACACCCATATCGGGCCACTGGGTATAGTGGTACTGAGAAATGACACGGCCACCAGGTCTTCCTTTCTGAGATCCCTGCAACAATAATTACTGTTAGAGAACAATACAGGGGGAAACGACTATATTAAAATATGTACGATGACATAAACTACAAATGTCAAGGCAATTTACACAGGGAGAAAACCATTTTTGTTTGGACCGATCCTAATCTTTCTAAATAAACAGTAGGAACCAACCCTTGACCCATCTGGGATGGATTGGTCCCCATTAGGGCCATGCTGGAGTGCTCTAATTGGGACAAACTCTCATGTAGCCAAGTTCACTGTTCCTTTAATTCTCAGCTCACTACATAAGACTAAATCAGTTCTGGAGCAAGCCGCCCTGTAGATATAGCCATAATCATTTCAATGGAAAGCACACTGTGACCAAAATGTAAAGGAAGTTAAGGACCCTACACATACCAAATTCAATAAATCAGTGAATTATATGTGATTTCTTATTGTACAAAAAACTATATTGACTCACCTACCTTTTTCACTTTTGTGTTCCTAATGGTAAAATTCCTTACAGTGTAATAAGCAAGCACTTGAATGCTCTTCTGAGTGACTAAAAAGTTTCCATATTCTTCACTACCATCAGCAGGCCAGTACTGGTCACATTTTCTCTAATAGTCAAAGCAATAAATAGTTTTAAACATTTAAAATAACATTTTATGATATAATTTTCATGTCTACCAGCAGACTGTCCTTTCTGGTCACAGATGTTATAACATGGGAACAGAGTAATTTCTCCATATGAAATATGTGTGAAAATTGACTGTTTACAAATAATAGTTTTTTGTATACACTTTACTTAGGGGTGCTTTACGGACCAGTATATGTAACCAGAATATTCAAGAAGGCAGTGCCATTTTACAGTATAAAGGGAAATGAGGTTAATCAAGATACGCTGCTGTTAAGAACGAAAGAAGAAATATTTCCCTAAATTCTGGCTGCTTTGCATTGGCTGCCCATTTGTTTCCGCATTGACTTCTAATTGTTAAAGATGACATATAAATCCCTAAACGGTTTAGGACCTCGATACCTCACAGAATGCCTTCTCCCACCTAGAACTACTCAAGTCACTTGCTATAGCCAGGAAAGACAGCTGAGGGGCCTGACGCCGACAGAGGCCTGGAAAGAAAGAACAAGAAGCCGGGCCTTCTCGGTAGTGGCCCCTCGGCTTTGGAACAGCTTGCCACCAGAGATCTGCCTGGCACCCTTGCTGGGTGTTTTCAAGAGCCAATTAAAAACTTGGCTCTTCAGGCAGGCCTTCCCTCCCGCCAATACTTGATTTCCATTTTTCTTGTTTTGTTGTTGTTATCTTCCCATCTTGATTATTATTGTAGATTTTAATTGTTGTTTTTAAACCCGTTTTGCGCACAATATATTGTGAGCCGCCCTGAGTAGACTCCTGTCTAGAAAGGCAGGGTAAAAATCTAATAATAAAAATAAATAAATGATTTTTTTTCTAGTTATTCCTTTAAGGTTGTGGAAAAGCAGTGTCAGGAAGCTAATAATTGCTTTTCCAAGACAGGTATTAAGAAACAAAATGAATCAGACTCAGTCTGATTCCCTGGCCTTGTGCATGCTTAAGGCACTTCTCCATGTCCATGCCGGATGTGCCCATTCTCAACTAAGGAATAGTTTTACCATTTCCATGACCTCAGCAAGTTTCTATAACAGAATCAAGGAATTGAAACCAGGTCTCCTGAGTTCTAGCTCTGTCCACTATAGCACAGTGGGTATCCCCAGTTAAATCAAATGTTCTCTCTTAGCCAAAACAGTTCTTGGTCAATACAATCAGAAGGATAATGGTTTTATCACAAAACAGGCACCATGATAATTGTCAATTTGTAAGAGCCAAACTGAATTTTTCTCTCTGAAAAGAAACAATTTTTGTCTCAGCAGGGGAGAATTCCTCTCCCCTCTCTCCCCTGTCATGTTAATAGCATTTGGCTCTTAATATTGTCTAGTTTGGCTGTTACTACCATTATGCATAAGCTTCAACAGATGGTTCAACAATATGGGAATTTGTCCCATGGTTTGGTCCTTTCTGGGGAAGTGGGAGGATGCTTTCAAGTTCCCATGATTGTCAAGTTGCTTAAGCAAAGCACAGAGGAGGGGACAAGGGGGGGGAGTTTTTCCTGTAATTTTCCCTTCCTTCCTTCCTTCCTTTCTTAAACCTCAAGTGGTTGCTTGAGGTGCAGTAAGATTGATCCTTGCATACAGATTCTCCTAAATGACATACTGTACCTCATAGAAACCCTGCCAAGCATGTTCCAGCCTAAGATAATTTAGTCATCTAGTGCACTGGTTCTTAACCTTGGGTTACTCAGGAGTTTTGGACTGCAACTCCCAGAAGCCTTCACCACCAGCTGTCCTGACTGGGGTTTCTGGGAGTTGCAGTTCAAAAGCATCCGAGTAACAAAGGTTAAGAACCACTGATCTAGTGGAGCCCAAAGTCATGCTTTGTGATTTTATGTGCATTTATTAAGACAAAATCTTGGTTTACAAAATGAAACTTGTATTTGGAATAAAAGCAAGAATGCATAATTTTGCAACCTTAGGGTATATTAATCAGTTTCACTAAGAAAGCCGAGTAAAGTATACAATCAATCAATCAAACAAACAAACAAACAAAACAAACAATAAAAGTTTGTACCCTTCCTTTCTCAACAAGGTTGGTTATCATTACAATGACTTCCACATTATGTTCCCAAATCATTCTCCAGAAATCTTCTGCTGTGGATTTTAAAGGTCCTTGAGCAGCAATGTAAGCTTTTGGTCTGTGGTAGCCCTACGTAAAAAGAAATGGAAATGGCAATTGAGACATGCAAGATCTGATTTGTGGGCTAATACTACTCAAGTAATTTTCAGGCTGCAACAGCTTGAACAATAAGAGACTCTGAACAAAAGCCAATGTTGTGATGAATGTAAACAGAATCACATCAACCTGTACTGGGATACAAAGGCTGAAATCTTGTTTATGGCAAAAACCAAATCAAAACTTTTTGTTCATTCCTCCTTGTTAAACAAAGTGTCTCTGCTGCAATCCTCTATGGTAAACATGAAACATGCATATTGGCTTGGTCCATAGGCGCATGCTCCCTCGAGAATCACGTTTACCAGACAGAAATGGATTGAATTACAACTTGACTTATGCTATGCATAGGGTTTCAGCCAATGACATATAAAATGAACTCTAACTCGACAAAGGCATACATTTCTTGACTTCCTGGACAACACTGAGGGCATTTGTTCTGCATGGCAAGTTTTATTCAGCACAATCCTTTTCTCAGCAAGGCTGACCCAATTCTTCTTCAGATGAGGCCAGCAGAAATACTAGACTGTTTACACTTAGATGTTATGGAATTATTATGTAAAACCTTGTATTTTGCACAAAATTCTAGACTTTTGACACAAAATACAGATATACAAATATTAAAAATTACAAGATTTTTGCCAAAACACCAGTGGTGGTGATGGCTGGCCAATGTTTTTAACAAAAATTGTGCTAGATGTTTCATTCTTATGGATAAAAAGGATAAAAAATCTGGCAGCAGTTGCACATTTGTTTTTAAAAATGTGTTTTTCTAATAAAGGAGCATAAAATTTGCATTCTTACACCCTTACCCTCCACCCACTAAGATCCTCTTTCAGAAACTGCTTAGGCTACTCTGAACCTTACAGATTTTTGAAATCAAAAGGCCAATGAAATAGGAAAGCGTACTTACATCCACATAGTTGGCATTAATGTAGTCATTAAGTTTTCCATCTTTGTCTGCAAGTTGGGCAAGTTTAACTCTACTGTGATCATCTACATAGGGTGGTTAGAGGTAGAAAGAGAGATTGCAGTAAGCACATTTTAGTAACAGTGCGGATGTTTCATTCACTGAAAGTTAAATTCCAACATTGTCAGAACATTAATATACAATATTATTTTTCATCATGTGCAATTATTCTATCCCTGTATCAGCAAGCAAGATCTGTTTGCAACAGCAGACTTCCATGTATGGAGCTAATGCAGATGAAATTATACATGGCATGCACATATGTAACTCATTGAGGGGTAGAGACTGTGAAGGAGTTGAATGTGTCAACATGTTATTTGTGGTAGCTCCATAGCTGTGGAATTCTGCTCATGTGGTGGCTTAGCTGTCAGCAAGGCACCTGTTCAAAATATATATTTTTTGTTTTCTTTTGATAGTTTTAGTGTATTATATCATATATTCATGATTTTGGTTTTTAGTTCTAATTGTATGTTATACAGTTTGTGAACTACCTAGGCTCTTTGTGGGGAACAGTTGGGCATAAATCAAATAAATAAATCAAATAAATCAAATAAATAAATCAATAAATAAATCGATCGATCGATCGATCGATCGATCGATCAATCAATCAATCAATCAATCAATCAATCAATCAATCAATCAATCAATCAATCAATCAATCAATCAATCAATCAATCAATCAATCAATCAATCAATAACAAACCAGATCCAGTGGAGTGTTTACCAACCTCTGAATCAAGACAGCTATGTAAACTCTTAATATAATATCACCATTTGTATGGAATTACTTACAGGCAACAATATTTATATATCTATTCTTATTCTTGTTGTCTGGATGGTTAGAGCTATCAGATGTGATACCAAGATCTACAGTGCAGTTCTGGATTTCCTGAAAAAAAGAAAAATTATGTTAAATATACATATGTATTTGTATATATGCCCGCCACCCCACAAAACATCTGTGATATCTTCCAACTATTTCTTTACAAAAATAAGGTACGTTGAAATAATTCCTTACCTGATAAAACTCTTTCAGTGTCTAATGAAGGAATGAATGCAAAAAAAGTAAAAATAAATCAAATTTCACAGCACACAACAAATGAATAAATGTTTTTACTGTATATTACAAATACAATGGAAAGCAATTATGGTTATGATAGAAATATAAACACATAAACACATTGATAAGAACCTAGCTAATAATTCTAATTCATAGTATGCAAATAAAATATATTCACTTTGAAATATAATTTAATTTTCATGACTAGAGGAGACTATAATATTAATGACTAGGTTCTGAAATTTTAATGACTAGTCATAATTTCAGTTAATTTATGTTAATGGCAAACACCCATTAATTGAAATGAATCAAAACCACCCTTATATATTGATTTCAATAGTACTGCAGATAACACACAGTACTTTGCAAATACAAACAAGTTACCAGCTTTACAAATAAAACTTTTAATAACAACTCATTCCATGAAAAACATGCATAGATTCAGTCATGCATACATGAACTGCAAATGAAGTTAGATTTTATTTCACTGATATGAGACACAGAATTAGCTGCTTAATGTGATTACACTTCCTAACTGCTATGCCTCTATGATCTTTATGAGTTAACAAATTCAGGTATCTTGCATGCTTGTGATGTTGTCAAATGATTGAAAACATGACCCAAAGCTCACAAATATCAGCACTGAACAGTTTTTCATCTTCCATTCTGGATTTGGCAAATTACAGTATAACATTTAACCATTACATTTTGACCAAGTACTTCAAACACTGTTCAGCAGAAGTACTCTACCTACACTTGGAGCAAGTTCAGATGTTATAGATAAGTGGAGAGAAAAATGATTGACTTGTACTTTCCACTTTCATATTCTGTATGTATAACATATGAAGTGGGGACTTGGTATCTTTTGTAGTGAGATGCATAAGTTTGAGATGTATACCCTAGAGCATTTACATCTCACTACAGAAGATACGTAGGAGTTCCCACTCCACACAATACACAGGAAATACAAAAAGAGATGTCACAAAGTTTCATGTACTCTTTCAGTTAGTTCTCCTGTTTATTGTCTGCTTTTGCCCTCTTAATTACTCTGAAGATTTGAAGTGTATGCATTCGAGACTATTAGCTATACAAATGGAAAGCCCTGTTCACACTCACTGTAACTGTAGATCTGGATACACAAAATTCATATTCTGAAGAACGTCGAGATAACAGGCTATTCATCTGTTGAACCCAGTTACATTGGAGCACTTCAAGCTCTAATTAAAGTGTCTTTTCCATAAATATTTGTATGTGAAATTCTCCCCCCACATCGCATGCTATTTCCATGAGTGTAGTCATGCCAACATCTAGGATTTTAACCACAAAGAATGTTTGCAATACTTTCAAAATATGAGTCACTCTTTTATTGTAATGGGATAGCATTCCATACCTCAAATTCTTCAGTGAATCCATTGCTGGCATGTAGATCTGCAACATGTTTTGGAAAATGTTTTGCTGGGATTGCTCCAACATCATCTTATAGGGATGGGGTGGGGATGGGGATAGAGAACAAATTACTTAGTTATTTACTAAAATGTTTCGACTTATATTAAGACAAAATGTACTGTAACTGACTGACAGAATTGGACTATATGCTGAGTTTCTGGTCACTCTGGCCAGAAGTCAATGGTGTGCTAGATCTCACTTTTTCTACTGTGACTGAAACTCGCTTTGCCTCCTGTCGCTTCCTGTCCACCATAACATCCAGATAGACAGGAAACCATCAGGAAGAGGTTTATTGGTTTATTGGTATTGGGAGAAGAGGGAAAAAACAGTTCCACTGATGCTGGGTAGTATGAACTGCTGGATAGCTCAGTGGTTTAGGTAGGGGTTGGGAGTTCAGTTCCCCGCTGTGCTTCCCTGATGGGGACTGAATTCGATGATTCATAGGGCCTTCCGACTCAGCAGTTCTGCAGTTACTATTACAGTGGGGTCTCTACTTAAGAACTTAATCCGTATTGGAAGGTGGTTCTCAAGTTGAAAAGTTCTTATGTTGAATCTGCATTTCCCATAGGAATGCATTGAAAACCATTTAATCCGTATCTGCTCTTTTCCATCCATAGAAACTACAGTGGAACCTCTACTTAAGAACTTAATCCGTTTTGGAATGGTGTTCTTAAGGTGAAACGTTCTTAAGTTGAAGCAAAATTTCCCATAGGAATGAACTGAAAACCAATTAATCCGTTCTGGCTGTTTTTTTGTTATGTAGAGGTGCGTTCGTACATTGAAGCATTAGTTCCCATAGGAACTACTGCAAAGCTGGTTAATACGTACTCTACCACGAGGGGGAGAATTTTTTTTAACCTAAGATGACCTAAGGTTAAAAAAAGAGCAGGAAAGGTTTTTTTTCCTGTTCTTATCTTGGATTTCTGTTCTTAGGTAGAAGCAAAATTTAGCAAATGGAGCTGTTCTTAAGTTGGATTGCTCTTAAGTAGAGACGTTCTTAAGTAGAGACCCCACTGTATACTATTATTAGTACAGTATAGATTTACTCTGTTGGATCTTGGGCTCCCTTTTTATTTTAATTTTATTTATCTGTTATGCATTTAGACCACCCAGAAAATAAAGGTCTCTATCCAGTGCAAAGAGAGCAGAGCTGTTTTACTGGATGCTCATACAGAACAATTTATCCTGGTGTTGTTAGCATGCATATCTGTGTATTTTATTGCAAGAAATAATCTTTATTTGACCTTGAGTACTGCAAAATACCAGATTTTTAAAAATTAAACCTAATTCCATTGATCCAATCAAAAGAAAATTAGACTTTCCAAAGAACAAAAAAGAGTCTTGTGGCACTTTTAAGACCGACAAGTTTTAACTGGCATAAGCTACTGTGATTTGCATCCCTCATCCACAAATGCATTCCTAAACTTCACTGAAATAACTTAAACTTCTAACTGTTCATTCAGTTTTCTCTGCTTGTAATGAAACTGTGTGGAAAAATGCTTAACCAGAAACCTCAATTTATATTGCACATACTGCACCCAAATCTTTCAGGATGACATTTACATTTCACAACATGATATATTTCAGGGAGAAAAAAACATTCAGCGTGCACAATATAAAAAAGACAAATCTTCATCCTACAAATCCTGAAAATGTTCCCTCTCAGAATAAGCTAAAGTACTAAACATATGCTTTGACTAAGTGGTAAAGGGCTGATCAGTTTTGCCCCTGAAAGGCAAAATGTTTTCCTATAAAATGTCTATTGAATTGATTAATTCTGCCCTGCATGTGGGTTTTTCCAAAGATATATGTCTGGCCCTCTTAGTAATTGTACAGATGGCCTTCCAGTATATCCAGAAGGTGTCTTCTTACTTTCTTATTCCACACTGTGCAACTTCAAAATTGCTTCCAAGTGACAAGGAAACACTGTACAAATTACACAAAGAATTGGTTTACATCAACAGGGGGTTCATTATTTAAATCACGTAATATTTTTAGGCTTCAGTTACCAAAACATGTTGATTCGTATTGGGAACCATCTGTTCTTGTTTTTTACTTGAATGGATTTAAGTGCACCGATCAAATTAGTTACTGAAGCCTACAAAATTGTACAGGTATGTAATAACACTTACCAATAATTACATTAGAAACTGGTGCATTTGTTATCCATTTGATCCTGTGGATGAGGCCTAGGATCCTGAGTTAAGTTTCAAATGTTGCATAAAGGAAAATGGAAGATTGGGTTAAGAGTTATGAGTGCCGTCCAGTGACAGACAGGTACCATCCTGTCCTAAAGAAGACCAAAGGTTTAATCTTAACTTGATGTTGAACATAGAATTTTAAAATGGGACACCTTAAATATAATCAAATAAACAGAAGACTAGGTAAAGGTAAAGGTTCCCCTTGACAATTTGTCCAGTCATGTCCTACTCTAGGGCGCGGTGCTCATCTCCGTTTCCAACCCATAGAGCTAGTGTTTGTCCAAAGACAATCTACCGTAGTCATGTGGTCCGCAGGAACTAGACATGGAACGCCGTTGCCTTCCCACCGTGGTGGTACCTATTTATCTACTCGCATTTTGCATTTTGCATGCTTTCGAACTGCTAGGTTGGCAGGGAAAAACAAGACTAGGGAAGAGCTTTATGGCAACTCTTTATACTTCTGTAAAAGAATGAAAAAATGGATAGACAGACACGCAAATGGGATGCTAGGTTCCAAGCTCCCATCTTTCTCTGTCTGAAGCTGAACTCATGTGCTAAAATATATACAGTCACACCCAACCTTTTTATTTGACCAAACTCCGGGAGGCAGTGGAAGACAGGAGGGCCTGGCATGCTCTGGTCCATGGGTTTATGAATAGTTGGACATGATTTAATGACTAAACAACAACACCTCCTTTTTATCTGCAAAGTCCAAAGACCATGTGTCTATCTTAAGTGATTTCTTATCCTTGCACAGAAATTGCATGTGTTGCTGACTCTTGGCCCTATAAACTTCAAACAGACCTAAATGACCTAATGTGAAGAGTCATTAGTAGTGTTAGATACAATGGCTTCCATGCTAACAAAACTTCTGAGATTGATACTGAGAACCAGAAGAGGATTTATTCAGCAGAAGCAGGGGAGGGGGAAATAATTTTCTTCCAGAGCTTCCTCCAGAGGATGTAGGTGTGAAACAAAATTGGTGGAAATCACACTTTCCCTGTACCTGTTAGAATGAATATCTCATAAGTGGTACCCTGTTCCAAGGACAGGGACACATGCAGGAGCAAATTCAGGTTCTTAGCCTAAAGGAAAAGGAATAAATCTGGCCGACTCTTTTGCTTGTGCCAGTTTCCCAAGGACAACTACTTGTTTTGAAGCTCAAGTACATGTACATCATACATGTACTTGAGCCCAAGCCATCTCAAGGACCAGATCTCCCTTTACGAGCCTGCTGGAGTGTTATAATCATCAGGAGAGGTCTTCCGTCCGGCCACCTTCCACATTTGGTGGAACATGGGTGAGGGCTTTCTCTGTTGCTGCTCTCAGACGCTGGAAATCCCTGCCACAGGAAGCTAAACTGGCTCTGTCTTTACTGTCCTTCATAAGCAGGTGAAGACCTTTCTCTTCAGGCAAGCTTCCCCTGAGTGAAAAGCTGCTGAGTGAAGCTTTTAAAATGGATTGTTGTACTTACTGCATTGAATGTGTTTTGGTGTTGCTTGTGTTTTTTGGTATTGTATTCATTGATCTTTTTAATATTATATACTCATTGTTACTAATCTTAAATACTATCTTTTAATCATTGTAAACTGTATTGGGTCTTTTTAAAGGAGAAAAGTGGGTTAAAATATTTCAAACAAACAAACAAAGAAATCTTGACTTTTAAAAGTTGGCAGTGAATTCAGTCTCAATGAGGTATATTTGTTTTATACTATGGCTACCAAAGCACATTTCCTTGTCACTTGGAAGCAATTTTGAAGTTGCACAGTGTGGAATAAGAAAGTAAGACACCTTCTGGATATACTGCTAGTTCATTAAATTATAAATCAGAATGTATCAATACTGTAGTCTATCCATTCTAGCTCAGCTGAAGTACTTGAGTTGAACCTCTTAAGTCTCACTAAAACAACTGGAAATCAGCAATAAATAAAATTCCAAAGCTGTATAGCTTGCATTGTAGAGGTCTATTTACTAGTATCTATTTTCTGTCTTAGTGGCCACAATCCTATTGCACAACTACATGAACAAAACCTGAGCTTGTGCCTGCAGTAGTTGTGCAAGCACTGAGGCAAAAGTGCTGTCTCCAAAGCCCTTCGGCCAGTGCATTGTGCAATTGGTTGTGTCAGAGGTGTGTTAATGGGCAATTATAGAGCACAATTCCTTGCTGCCATGTGTAATACCCATCAACAAGATGCTAGCCATTGTTTCCCACGTCTACTTTTTTAAAAATTACTTCTATCTTATTGAATTATTTGAGTTAAAAAAGTTTTGGAAAACAGCAGAAATAGCAAAAGAACCACAGCTAAAAATACAAGGGGCACCATTTTGTAAATGGGCACAGACCACAGACCACACAGAGGATGCTTTAGCTGGGGATTTCCTACATTGGGAGATGGCCAAATTAGATGACCCTTGGAATCCTGTCAAACTCTATAGATCTATGAACCCGTGATCAGTGCAGGGACATGTGAGAGTAGCTGGTGACCGTGCTGTTCTTGTAGCTATTAGACTGTGATCCTGTACATGTGTCTACAAAAAGCAGAACATGAAAATGCATATTATGCATTGATTCTCACTTAGAGCTTAGAAGTTACTTTTGCTGACTACAACACTCAGGAGCCTCCACAGGTCATTAGTCCAAAAACTAACTTTTCCAAGTTGCCTTCCCCTGTAACCTGAAATTTCTGGATGTTCTCTTGGTTTAGCATTCATAGCAGTTTAGTGTAGGGCTGGGCCCTGCTTCCAGAGCATAAAAAGCCTAATAATATAAAAAAAACCTGTGAGCATCAAAATCCAGAGCACCAAAGTCAGCTAGAAGTTACAAACAATAGTTGCAAACTCAAAACATAGGTCATCTGTGTAAGTGGCTCAATCCACTTTTCTTCTGCCTATGAATTATGATTAGATAAAACTTGATATAAAATCTGTTTGTCATTTTCTCTTTTTAATTATAGAAACAATTATCAATTTATCTTTTAAAAACCAGTAATAGTTCATAAAATAAATTCTAAGCAATTTACCTGACACAGGGAAGACTGGTGCTGGGGGAGTGGATATTACCCGGGGTGACGTGTTATCTTCTAAATAAAAGTGAGCTGTTTGGAAACATTTCCTAAGAGAAAGAAATAATTCACATAAATATGTATGTAATACCTAGAGCACTCTTCTTCCTTTCAAAAAGTTTTCCTGAAAAAAGAATTATATACTTTAAATATCTGACTCATACAGTACATATCTACGATTAGGTGATGAGACTTAAATAATGATTGTTAAAAAAAACACAACCCCAACATTTTGAGCATTGCTGCAGCAAAATTAAGCACACAGCTTTCTACTGGAGACAAAAGAACGCACGCCTAACTGTTCCGTGGCTATGAGAAAAATTTCCATGCTCTTAAAATGATTATTAATAGGTAGTATATATTGACTGTTCAGATAGGTTTTTTTAACTGAAGAGGCAGAAGATATAGCAAGCATGTGTCATACTGAAACTCTCTAGAGTGCAACCACTGAAAACCGATTAATCCCATAACCAGTGGTTTTTATTCTATTTTTATTCCATTTTGCTTTTTTTCTGGTCTGTAAGTCGATTCTCTGGCTGCAAGTCGAATCTAAATTTTGCAGCCAGAGAAGTCTGTAACTCGAAAAGTCTGTAAGTCGAGCCGTCTGTAAGTCGAGGGTCCACTGTATTGACTGTTCAGATAGGTTTTTTTTACCTGAAGAGGCAGAAGATATAGCAAGCATGTGTCATACTGAAACTCTCTAGAGTGCAACCCTGAACTAGATGTCACTGCTTGTGTTGTTCGGTGCTGCAATGGTATTAAAACTATTGCCATTGCCTTTAGTATGTTCTGGTTTGCAGAGTCTCATGGAATACCTTTTCATTCCACTCATGGGCACTTCCTTCCCCTGAACCATTGAAGATGAATGAAAAAAAAACCCCACAATCCCTTAGGAAGATGAGAATCCAGAGACTCAAAATAGAATGCCCAAAATTCAGTCTGTTTAATCACTAAACCATCCCACTGCAATAATTTATTAAATCATCTCATCTAGTCAAGTTGTTTCAACAGGGAGAATAGTACATAATGTCAACCACTGAAGGGAGATAGAGTACAAAATAAAAACATTTACTGGGTTATACAATATGCTCTGCATCCTCTTCCATATTCCAGATGTGGAAACAATAGGAATGGCATCTGGTCAGTCTACAACGAGTGGCTGAAAAGACTGTAATAATCAACTGTAGTTTCAAACAATGTAGCTTTCCCTTAATTAAAAAAAATCAATCTTTAGATAATTACGCCTGTTAATTATCCTTTATGTGGGTCATTTGCTTCGCTTAAAGTATTATTCACAATTGGTTAACTTTAAAATGAGATTGTTACATCAGAAGAAGCATGAGTATAATTTTAAGTTGATTAAGTTCTGCTTTGAGCAACTGGGCTTAAATCTCCCTTCTGCTTCCACTGTCATTTTGTGGATTTTTTTTTAACTGACCTAGAAATAAATTAAGCTGAAATAATTGGTTTTACAGTGTCCTATACTTCCACTGATTTGGACTGTTGAATACATAATCAAGAAATTGTAAATATCATGGAAGTCTGGACCTAATGAAATGTCTTTCTAGGTCTGACATTGCTGCAATAAACTTTACTTTTGTTCAACAGACTTCGGAACATGGAGGAAAAAAGAACTACCGTATACGATAATTTACTGGTCTGCTGTTTAACAATGGAGAAAACAATGAGAGTAAAACCTAGTTAAATTTAAATTTACAGTTTAATATTTTGGAAATAATATACAGTTTAAATGATCAAATCCAGCATCTAAACCTAAATTCTGCAGCTAAATATGTTGTGTGCCGTAAAGTCAGGACCAACTTGTAGCAACCGTAATAGGTCTTTCAAAGAAAGTGAGACATTAAAGGAGTGGTTTTACAAGTTCTACTCCCCCAGTGAGTTTCCACGGTTAAGCAGGGATTCAAACCCTGTTCTCCAGAGTCCTAATCCATCACCCTATCCATTATACCTAATCCATCACTCTATTTACATTGGGATGTATTTTCTACTTTCTAAGAAAGAAGATAAAATGTATATCACAATACTCAGAAATGACCTTAGTATACAACTGCACAACATACTTAAAATAAGTATACTTTTTAAATACTAATTGTTAGTCTTAAAATACTTTTAAAATACTAATTGTTAGTGCAAACTAGAGTAGCCATTTTTACTAACTGGCTGATATAATTGCTGATTTCATAAATGCCATTCATTCAATGGGCATGATGCAGCTGGGACTAACAACTGGATTTAGCCCATTATGCCTGGAGCTATTATTACAGATGTTGGGAAAGGAATGAACAGTAAAATACCACAAAATAATTTTATAGTAAGATTATAAATGAATTCAGAACAATTTAAAATAAGCAGTTTTGTTTCTTGCTGAGCCAAATATTTGCTGTGATAATGGCTGGCTGGCTGGCTGGCTGGCTGGCTGGCTGGATGGATGGTTTTTGCAGCTCAATGCACAACCATATGCTATTTTGGATTCATCTCCCTTGTGCATAATGCAGAACTAGGTGACAGCAAATGCAATGTTATTTGCACTTCTGGAATAACACTTTTGGATACTGAGCCTAAAATGTGTGCAAGTTATAAAATGAAAAAAAAACCCGTACCCTTTTAACATTCATGATGTAACACTGCCAGCACATGTAGACTGTACTGAATTCATGCTTCACACCTCATTTCTTGAGATGTTTGTTTTATTGTTTGCTTCCACTTTTCCATTTACAGGGCAAAGAATACTGTAGCAACTGTAAGGACCACAATATTTCCAGCTCAGGTTCAAGTACAATTGTGCTATAAATGGAAAATACGCATTTTTCTTTTTACATAATTGCCAGAATCCTATTGGGTATTTACTGTAATATTTAGTCCTCAATGGGGTATAGGTATCTGGCCATGGAGTCATAGGTTCGGAGTTCAATTTCTCACTTTGCATCCCAGAACAGCCAGCTGTGTGGCCTTAGGCATGCTGCAGAGTTCCAGACTGTCCTCAGATGACGGGAATGGTAAACCACTTCTGTGAGTATTCTCTAATTGGAAAACTCTGAAAAGGATCACCATAAGTCAGAATTGACTTGATGGCACACAATTATTATTAAGTGTACTGGCATAAACTCTAGCACTGAAATGCCACTAATGAACGAATTGCCACTTGCATTCCTCATCATATGACAGTCATGCAGTTTGGTGTGTGATGAGAAATAAGGGCAGAGACTCCTAATTAGCTCCTGCCCTTTTTACACTGTTACACTTTCACTGGTATAAATACTCAACAGTATTCTAGTTATTACATATGCAGGGACAATGTTGCTTAAGGAGACTCTCTTTTTTGTTGTTCAACAGAAAAATAGTTTGTGTTTGCCAATTCACTCATCACAGTGAATAAATAAAGTAACTATGAGGGGTGCAGGTAACACTAAACGTTTGCGATTTTCTTTTGTAGACATAAGAAGACATGGTGAATAGAAAACTTTGTTCTGTGAGTTATTTACACAGAACTTGTAGTCTACATTCTTGTGAAGGTATATGAAGTGCACACTGGGTGAACCTGTTCAGAACATCGTAGAAAGAATTGCATGCAAACTGAAAACAATTATGGTGTGTTTCATTATAATCTATACTCTGTAAAGACAAGGAAGCAAACAAACAAATATTTAGGATAAAATGACCTGATTTTTTTAAAAAATGAGCTGAGATATGAAACAATCTTTCTGACTGATGAAAGATATGACAAAATGTAGCAGAATGTTCAATTGGAATCTTAAAGAAATATAATAAAAATGTTAGTGACCTCTTGTGGTCAATATAATGTATCTTTCAGATAAGCAAAAAAAGAGAGCTACAAAATCTATTTTGTAATACACTAAAAAGACATGAAGGATTAAATTTAACATCTAGAAGTTATTAACATTAATAGGATATCTGTTTTATTTTGAAAAATCAAGGTTACAAACCATATATTTATATTTTTTTAGGACAAGAAACAAAATGAACACAATGTCATCTGACAAAAACAAGGATCAAAACACATGTAGGATTACCAGAACTACACCATGCAATCCTGGTCTTACAGTGTCTGGCGCATTTTCTTTGTAAACAGGAAAGATTTCAAATGCCATTTAGCTTTAAAGATAAAACCTTTTGGAAGATGAATGTGAACAGTCATGTAGAAAATAATGTAAAGCCACAAGACAAGCTTGTCCGAAAAATGATGGTTAGCTATAAATCCCCAAAGTAAAACCCAGAACAAATGTACCAGAAATGTAAACTAAAAATAAAAATGTGCAGCTCTTGGAATGCTTGTCTTTCATCTACTGGTGTGTGCATGTGGAAACAGTTATAACTCACAGCTGAATGTGTGAACTGGCTCCATTAAATATATATATATTTGAGTGAGGCTAAGCAACATCTAAACTCAGTTTGTGGTGTTGCATCTGTGACTCTCATTAACACATGCAATTTATCAACTAATGCTGAAATAGTAAAGTGATACATATGCATATGTGGGCTGATTCTAATCCATTCATTCAGAAGTAAAACATCTTATTTTAAAAACAACAGCAAAGTATGGGGAGAGGTTATACACTATATATTTTTCTGTAATGCCCTAATCTAGACATGACCTAGTCTAGACAGTTTTGGGGATCGTCAGAGTTCAGATGTTCAGAGTTCATATATTCATTCTCTGTATGAATATATCAGTGCATTCCTTTGACAAGTTAATACGGCAGCGACAGGACTGGGAAGAAGACATTTTTCTAAAGGAAAATTAGTGGGCAGAAAGTCATATATAGTTGGGGTCAAAATGGACATCTCATATATTGTTCAAAAGGTGCTGATTAGCTGTCATTATTTATTTATTTATTTATTTATTTATTCCATTTATACTCTGCCTATCTAGTCATTGCGACCACTCTAGGTGGCTTACAACACAAATACACACACACACACACACACACACACACAAATTCTCATAATTAGAAAATTAGAAAAAACTTCTACAAGATGGAGAGCAAGCAACATAACTCATAATAGGAGAAGAAGGGAGGAAAAATAGGATATTATGCATACGGTAGTATTTTTGAAAGACCTTAGCAGCTGCTCTACATTATTCAAGAAACTTCTCAGATAAAACTGAGAACCTTCTACTTATTATATGATTACATGCATCCTTATACAAATACATGAGACAAGTTGTAATTAAGTAAAAATATCTGAAAAAGAGATCTGTTACCAAAAACTCAGTCATTTAGGACAGGAACTACACAGTTACGGAAGGTAACAAGTCATCCACAAAAATGTTAATAACAATATCTTTAAATTTTTTTTAAAAAGCTTACCTCCAGTATATGAGTATACCAACAAGAATCACTAGACAGATGAAAGTCAGGGCTGATACGACCACAAGAGGTATAACTGTCTTCGGTTCTGGCAGACCAATACGGGACTGAAGGCTACTATTACTTGCCTCTGCAGTCAGAGAAAATTGAAACAACCTGTATTTAAACTTTGACAAAAAGCACAGCATAATTGGCCATGATTTTTGAATCTTAGGTACTCTCACTTACCGGTCTAATTTTTTAGTGTCACTGCAATGTATATATTTGCAAACCAGTTTAAGAAAATAAGCAGAATGATGGCAAAGCAGAGGGTCACAGCTTAGGCAGTGCAGAATTTCATTTTCTGGTTAATTACAATTTTTTATATAAAAAAGAATGAAATCAAGAAGTTTGGTTCACTTTGATATTAGTAAACAGAATTTCCAAGATAATTAATTATATATATCAAAGATTGTCTAAATGCAATATTTTACTGAAATATTCCATTAGCATTCTGAACAACAAAAATTGACTTCCTATTAATATTAGTATTATCATAAGATATAACAACTTTCTGAAGTGTTTCTTTTCTGTTTCTTATTCATGAAAAAGCAGAGCTCTACAACTCAGCTTTTATTATACTATGTCTTACACATATTTTTCTCTGAAAATCAAAATTTATATTATAATACAATTCTAATAAATTCCATGAAAAAGAGGAATTTGCAATATCTTTTTAAGATCAGGCTTATCTGTTCAATCTGCAGCACTGGTAGGGGCACAGTAGAATGATTTGTAGCTATTTTTCTTCGTTAATACACTGAAATATATTTTTGTCTCTATGGCTGCACAATTCAGTGTAACTGAGATCACATTTCATTTCCGTTCAGTTTATGCCTCTGACCTTTTAAACAAAAAAATGACAGCTAGAAAGTGAAATAATGAACACCATTTTAAGTCCATACAGAGAGTACTAGCTCAGTGAAGAGGCATTTGTAAATACGCCAACATGCTTCTGTTCATAGGTTTCCCTGCAAAGAAAGCAGGAAAATACAAATGCTGAATCTATATATGAAGTTGTCCCCTCAAATGATGTTAGAGGGTAAGGAATTAAGAATGGGCACATTCACTGGGTATAATCATACAATAGGATAATTATATTATACAACTATTGAGTATAGTACATAGGAGCAAATTACAGTTCCACCCATTTAGTAAAACCGTAAGTACAGAGAAGTGTCCTGATCTTAAATCAAGGAGACCTAGACAGTATGCATAGGAGTACAGGACTCAGGTGAAGGGGGAAAGAATCATTAGAATATCACCTTCAAAGTCACTGGCAATGTAATCATGCATAGATTTGTACACATGGAAGTTCAGCTGAACTCAGTGGGACTTAGTCCCAGTTAAATATGTATATGATTACTGGATAAAACACATATAGGCTTTGCTACTGACTTTAGAAGGATGTGTGTTCTGCATCTTCCATCCAACAGTTTGGATGTGATTGTACTGGGCTGTATCCAACTGTGCCTTTAGGTGAGGGAAACAGACATTACTGGCAAACAGAATCTGTCTTTATTTAATAGCACATTGTGCAACCACAATGGAAGAAGGGGAATCCCTTCTACATGATGTTGGACAAAACCCACTACAACTGCCCTGCACATGCTGCTCCCTTCACAATAGGCTCACAAAGACCTCCTTATACAGAGCAAACTGTACATGGGAAATATATATGCATGTTTAACCTCCAGAGGCAAGGGTAAGTGGGGTGCCCCTGCTCTTACGAAATGGTACCAGTACACCTGATGTGTGCAAACATTTTGGAACTGGGCTATTCTAAACAAAACAAATAAATATATTCTAGCATCTGTGAGACTAGGTGACAGAAAAATTCAGCTGTTGAATTTCTTTCTGGCAGACTGTTTTTAAAGGGAAATTATGAATCACAGCAAGCAAGAGCATGGTACTTGTCTAACACTCCGTGTTGTGCTCTTTTTGTCTAGAGTCAAGCAATTTCTGTGGCAAAGGGAATTAAAAGGACCAAATAATTTTGAGCCTTGGGTCTTTGGAAGCTGCAGAACAGCACAAAGGGGAATTCTGGGTGTTCTTTAGATATCCATGTCTATAGCCAATTAAACCTATAGTTGACTTTTGAATCTATTAGTCCAGAATTGGAAATCTGCATGAAGTGCTGGTTTCTCACTTCTGAATTTGAAGAGCACTCCAACAGTTCCACTTGCAACTTTAAAAAACCCTTCTACTTTATGTACTTAACTTTGAACCTGATCCTCTCCTCACTACCTGATACACAACAGCTATAAGTAGAGATTGAACTTTTGTTTGGGATTGTACTTAACTTTGAACCTGATCCTCTCCTTACTACCTGATACACAACAGAAACATGGCTTTATAATTAGGCCTTTAAGGAAACTGAATGCCTGGGATGTTTTGGGTAGAGAAATATTAAAAACCTTGTTCTTACATTTGAACAGGACCATCAATGCAATGAGCAAAAAGTGTGCATGTGTGTACTGGGGACAACACTTATACTGGGAAGCAATCAGAAATACACTTTCCCCCTCTAATCCCATTCAAATACATTTGCTTCAGCCTTATTAAAATTTTATTTTATCTCATTCTTTTATCTTCAGGATGCATGGGAATTTTTTAGAACTGAGATACTAAATGCACACTCTAAGACTGTTTCAACAAGAAGGAAAAATGAGAGATGTCTAAAGTAACCAGAAAGGTTGACTAAAGAACTTTCAACTCAGCTAAGTGTAAAAAAAAAACATGTACAAGAAATGAAAAAATGGGGAAAGTACGAAAGAGGAATATAAGTAAATAGCCAGTACATGTAGGGGGATGGTAAGAAAAGCTAAAGCACAGTACTAACTTAGGCTTGCCAGAGAGATTAAAGATAATAAAAAGGGATTCTGTAGTTATGTCAGCAGTAAGAGGAAAAAGAAGAAAACGATTGGGTTTCTGTGTGGAGATGATGGCCCATTACTAACAGGGGACAAGGAAAAGGCAGAACTACTCAGCACCTTCTTTGCCTCAGTTTTTTCCAAAAAGGAAAATAGTGTTCAACCTGAGGGACGAAGGGCAGGTGAAGTAGTATAGGAAATGCAGCACAGAATAGTTAGAGAAGTAGTACAGGATTACCTGGCTACCTTGGATGAATTTAAGTCTCCTGGGCCAGACAAATTACATCCAAGGATATTAAAAAAAAACCTGGCAGAGGTAATATCAGAACCATTGGCAATAATATTTGAGAATTCTTGGAGAACAGGGGAAGCCTCCACAGATTGGAGGAGGGCAAATGTTGTCCCTATCTTCACAAAGGGAAAAAAAGAAGACCCAGATAATTATTGCCCCATCAGTCTGACAGGCCAAAAAGCCAGTAGTGAGGGAAGGGGGTGAGTAGAGCGTGGGTGAGTGCATGCATTTGGGCCCACAGTGCCATTTGGAAGATACATATGCAAACACTTCAACACTGAGCCCTGGTACTTGACAGTTGGAAATGGGTGATGTGTACCTAAGCTTTAAAAATTAAAAAAAAAATCAAGTTATCTCCGCCTTCTGTACTGCTCATTAAATGATCACCTCATTTGGAGTCATGGAAAATATAGCAACACTCTGAAGCTTCAACCCTTGCCCTCTGACCTGGCAATTCTACACAGGACTTGTCTTGGGGAGGGGCAAGGCCGGCAAGCATGCCCTCCCTCATCCTGAAATGATAGAGGAAAGCCCACCACCCTGAGCCAGAGTAGCTCATGTAGCAGGTTGATGAGGAAAGTTCATTTCCCTCCTTCAGCCTGACAGAAGGGCAGTGTAAGTTAAACCGTTTTGGTTATAACATGCCTAATCATTTTGTAATACAATGCCCATATAATTACAGTTACTGTAATTGCTTCTCATCTCTTATTTCCTTTATGTAGGTGCAATGATCTATCATCAGGACTTCCCTGGCTCTAATTTTACCATAGCCATGAAAATTCTAGGCAGCCATGGGTCTCTATTGTCCTTTACCTGTGGGAATAGAAATACTGTGGTACCTTTAAAGAATTTCCTTGTTTTACGGATTACAGAATATAATGCATATGAAATTTTTCTTGAACATAGAGAAAAGGTGCTACACAAATAGTAAACATTTCTATTATATATATTTAGTGAGTGACAATATTTTTTTTAAAAAAATTAGAGGCCAGACAAGGAATTCAAAAATATCAACACAACGGCATGTCTAGTTCCTGTACTTAGCAACGTACAATCCTTGACTTCTGTATATACAAACTAAACTTTTTCATGTTTCCTGTCATTAAAGATTAATTTCAATTAACATCTGTGATTGATTAACAAAAGACCTCATAATAGACAGTATTCATTCTCAATTACTACAATGACAAAAGCAGAGTCAGGCACATTTCAGAATAAAAAAATCCTGTGAAAAGTCTCTAATGGGAATGAAAGAGGCTCAATTGATCATATGTACAATTTCCCAATCAATGTGATACATAATTCATCTAAATTATTCTTCTGGCACTGCCCAGTATTATCCAACCATTCATTTTGTAAAAAAACTAGAAATAACTTACGCTATCATTTAGACAGTTAACTAATTTGATGTCTTCTTCTAAATCACATGCCTATTTTTTTTCTGCACTTTACATGATTTATGACTAAAATAGCTTAAATGCATCTCTGTAAGTCAGAATCATGAGGATCTGGCATACTCTCCAGACACCAATTGCTATCAAAATATGAAAGATAACAAATTTAGCCAGTTTTTATTTTAGCTGGGTAATGCTGCCCTCTACAGGCAATGGAAACAAAGAAAACTGCCTCACTGTCATGTTTATCTTAGGTTTATTTGTCATATACTTAGCTACTAAACCTTGCAAGCAAATTCATATTTTAATTCCAGCTAGAACAGACCCCCCCTTCACGGATTGCTGCCTTGTCATGGTGAAGGGGCTTGAGTAATTCAGAGAAGCTATGGGCTGTGCCATGCAGGGACATCCAAGGTTATAGTGGAGAGTTCTGACTAAACACGATCCACCTGAAGCAGGAACTGTCAAGCCACTCCAGTATCTTTGCCAAGAATGCCCCATGATCAGAAACGAAAGGCTAAAAGATATGACG